CCTGACACTTCCTAAAAGAAAACATTGCTGAAATTGTATTTTTTTTCGTAAAGTACATTTATTAAGCTTTCTTATGATATATAGTTTGTTGGGGTTTTAATGAAACTGGCGCGCGTACGATTTTTTTCCCGAAGGGCACCTGCGAAGGTGGGAAGTAACCTTAAGCCCTGTCCAAACGAGAAATGTTTGGCGACCAAACAGGATCAAATATTGTTTGGTGACCACACATGTTGATGTTGTACAGAGTGGCCAAGTAGTAACAAACATGTTTCATCACCGTCCAAACGAACAAAATGTTTTACAATGTTTGATCAACTGTTTGACGTCGTTCAAATTTTACTGATCAAACACGATTCAACACGATCAAACAAGGTGTCCAAACGGGAAAATGTTTGGTCACCAAACAATATTTAATCGTGTTTGATGCCAAATATTTCCCGTTTGGAAAGGATTTCAGTGTATATGGTACTGTAGTATTCTTTCGCGGCAGTAAGATTAATCAGCTTGTCGATTATTGCGCAATTTTGTAGTAAACTTTTCTTGGCACCGCGAAATTAATTTCTTTGGAGACTAAATTAAATTAACAGTCATTATATGTGTAATCTTTTCCGACCTTTGCAGGGTTTAATCTTGCTGCACAGCTTCACTGGATCTCTGAAGGTAGGTTTGTCTAGGCGCTGACGTATGGAAAAAAGATTCGGGCCTCTGTGCACTTGCTTGATTGGACAACAAGCCTGGATGGGGTTGCTGAAATCTCAATCATTATCAGTTGAATTTTTCGGCGATTATTCTCAGCTATAAATTAAAATTTCATCCCATTTCTCGGCTATCAGTAAATTTTGCAGATCTCAGAACCTAGATATAAGCAAAGACACGCGTTACTTCTCAACTGACAGTTAAAATTTTGATGCGGCAATTAATTCTAGCACGTTCTCTTGATCCCTTGAAATTTCTCTTTTTTCTCCCTTGTTCCCTTTCACCAAATTCTGTTGTTCCCTAAAATTTCTTTGTCAAGGTTCCCTTTATTAGTAGAGACATCCCTTGTTCCCTCAAATTAATCTAAAAATATCCCTTGTTCCCTTGAAATAGATGATCATTTTCCCTTGTCACCCCAAACCCCTGGGCGGCTCCCATAAGTTAAAACATCCAGACCTCTTAAAACGGTGCCCTGGGAGCCTTTAAGGTTGTATCGCGCTCCTTCCTTGTCCCGGGGCCCGGGTGGGGTACTCACAGAAAAACTGAATGGAGGTGTGCGTTGAGCTTCTTGAAACAATTACCCTATCTCACACCGATCAACATTTTGATGCCCTATTGCAGACTTGACACTTCTAAAAACACTCATACTAAACATACCTAATTCAAGGCCAGAGTGCACAAACTATACCCTATTTCAGAAGACAATGGCTGAACTTCATGCGCTAAATCCTACTAAAACGGCTAAAAAACCATACCCTTTGGCTATACCATACCTATATAGCTCATTTAAGGGGGCACTCCCCGGATACTTGAATGTCTTGTTTCATTATGTATTTTCTATCTATTTTTTTTTTACCATGTTTATGCGCTAAGAAACGGCTGTTGCAAATATTTCCTTTCTTTTCAGTTTGGAAAAGGAACGCGCCCTACGAAATTGGTTATCCGTTATTGTACAGCACTCTAATCGTTCTACCTGTGATCCCGCTCCTGTGTTTTCTGATACCATCCAAAGAATCTCTTTTACAGCAGGTCAGTATGGGGTCACACGACAAATTGTCCAAAATGAAAAAACAATCAGTAAACAGAAGTCGTTTCCAGTCCTACTTCTTCTGGGGCGCTTTCCATTCGATCACAAATTCCGTTTCAAACAGGAGCCATAATCCGATTATGGCTCCTGGTTTCAAAGCAAGTCCCCTCGCAAAACCTTTCATAAGAAAACGAGTTTGATTTACATGAAAATGAACCTGCAGGCGGAACTCATTTGCATATGCATGATTTCGCACGGAGACTCGTTTTGACACCGAAGCAGAAGACAACTCGGAAATGGTCAATAGCCCACGTTTGATATATCAACATTCTAACGTGGCTGCGAGGCTTTCAGGACAAACTTCTATATTTGGGGTGTTTTTTTGCATCCAAGTCTCTTTTAGGAATTGAGGGACAAAAGAAACTTTAAAAAAATTTGTAATGTCCTGAAAGCTTTGGAGCCATGTTAGAATATTAAGATATCAAACGAGGCCATTGCCTCCGTTTCTAAAATTCCGGAATTTCTGGTTGAATGGAAGCGCCGCTGGTAAGAGCAAAAACTAAAGCGACAGCAAAATATATTTGTTTTTACGTCCACCTAAGGACTGAGGTTTCTACTTTCAGAATGTTTTTTTCTCCTGATGTCAGTCATGGTCAAGATATTATGGATTACAATCTCGCCATGGCATAATATTGTGACTATTTTATTATCCATAGTACGAAAATGACCAAATGGAAAGACAAAAGGAAACTGAATCGGAAAATGATGAAGACGAGGAAGAGTGTTATGTCCCTGCAGAAGAGCCCTGCCCTATCACTCCCTGCAAATCTCTTGTACTCTCCGACAGCGATAGTTCTATTGGAGAGATACTGGTCACGGCAGTTGAACAAACCAAACCCGAGTTGTGTGCACCACGTGTTGCCATAAAGACACCTTTGACAGACGAGAGGGAAGAAGGCGAAGTTACAGTGGCTGAGCAGTTCCCGGATTTGACAACTGTTGATACCGCTGACAGCTTCATTCACATCAAAGAACTAGCAGAGAGGATTTTTCCCGAGGACACCTTGGGGTGAGTTTTCATGAAGAAAGTCTTATGATAGCCTTTTTCATACTTGAACCAACCATCGCTTGTCTTGCACGGTAAGTGTGTTTCTAGTGTGAAAACGTGGACCATCAGTGGACTATTAAGTGGACTATCAGCTAGTATGTTGACTTGCCACTAGGCCGCCTTCACAACACTTTTACATGGACTGTTAGTATCAAGTATTGGCTATGGTTTGATTGAAGAAGGATTTTTTTCATTTTTACAGAAAAACCTGTGTGATGGTTGCCGCTGGTGCTGTTACTTCTTACGGAATTTATCGCCTTTTCTCGTAAGTTGAACTGACCTCGCCGTTCTGTAACGTTAAGCAATGAACTATTTCTAATGCTACCGTTGGTAAGCCAATTTAGCTACGGTAATCACATGACTGTAATCACATTTAAACGCGGGAAACGACGTCACGCGGTTTTTGTTCTAATATCCCATTGGTCGAGAAGACAGTTTCTTTGGTTTGATTGGTTATAGCGCGTGACCAGAGTTTTCACGACGAGCCAATGAACAGAGCGCTTCAGTCATGATCTTAAACATGACACAGCCTGTAACGTTATTCAAAGAAACAACGATAAGAAAAAAGTCACTTTCTTTCGCTCTTGTAACTTGGTCAGTCAGACTTCTTACTTCTTCTTACTTCTTCCTTGGGTTGTCACGCAACGCTTAACCTGCAAAACAGGCGTAATTTTTTTGCGTTATTTTAGGCGAACAGAGGCGAACGCGAGGCGAGCGCGAAGCGCGAGTCGCGCGCGATGGGAAGAGCTGTTCTCCTAAAATACGCAAAAAAATTACGCCTTTTCTGCAGGCTACGCAACGCTTTTCCCTATTGCGTGAATGGCTGCGAATGAGAGTAAGAAATGGAACTTCTTTGTCTATGCCTTGCTTCTGCTGTATATACATGCCGAGTCTAGGTTACGGGTGGTCTGATGGCGGCAACGACACTCACATTATTTCTTCTTTCTTTGCAGGAAATAATCGTCTTATCATGGTCCATAGAAAAGGATTGTAAAGATATCGCTTGTATACACAAGGACTGAAGTGATAAATCTATAGTCATGCTTTTTCCACGTTGTAACTTACGTGTCAATCACGTTTGTCATAAGTGGTTTAATTTTCAATGTCTCTGATAAAATTTATGTCAGCTGTCTTTGTCCAGTCTTTTTCTTTTTGATATAAATTTATCTTTTTTGTCCTTTGACTTGGTGGTTTTAATTGTTTCCCAGTGGGTAGTAAATAGCCCCTCCCAGGTTAATTCTGAGATTGTGGGAGAAATTAACGGAAGGCAGTTGCAGAAGGGATTTTCACTTCCTTTGCCTAGGAAAGGCTATCATTCGATTATCTTGCTCACATTTCACAGTGAATCACAGTGGTTAGATTGACCAATCAAGTCAGTCCTTAGCCCCTAAACGAATCAGATTCCGAATTGAAACCGAGGTGTGAATTAGAATCATAAGGAGGTTTAAATAATCTAGACAGCGACGTCGAAGACAACGTCGATTAATAATGGGGGACGGAGACCGTCCACGATTATGGCTCCTGATTTTACCTGCGAATCTCGCGATACTTTGAAGTCATTTACTTTGTTTTTCACTCAAAACTATCACGAAACTGAATCTGGGACACAGCGATAAAATTGAAATAAAACGTTGAAAAATTAGCTGTCGTGGTTCACATTCTCCTGACAACCAAGAATGTGGTCATTTCCCGTTGTTGTTTTGCAGAGGACGGCAAAGAAATGTACCAAGAATTATAACGTACGTGCACAGCCATTTTTCTGCTCTTCAAACCTTTAGTTCAGCGACGTTGCCGTTGCCGTTGCCGTTGCCGTTGCCGTTGTGGTTTTCTTAAACTCTTTAATAGGGAGCTTAAGAAAACCACGACGGCAACGGCAACGAAAACGTCATCAAACATACTTATATAACTCTTTGTAGATTTCTTTGCCGTTCTCTGTAGAACAACAACGTGAAATGAGCAAGTTTTGCGTATTTTGGAGAACGTCGACGGAAAATTTTTCTTATTCCTTTTCGGAATTGAGCGCTAGCATTACATATTTAGTTTAAGCAAGTTGATGGACCGATTGGCTTACTGACCAGATCCAGATAGTTACGAAATTCGAAGGTAAAATATAAATCCA